CTGGAAGTTAATATTTATGCGTTTCATTAGAGACCGACCTCACGTCCTATATACTGTCCGGTTTTACCGGTTATTTAAAGTCTGAAGTTGAACTTAACATTTTTTCCGGCATAAGACTCCCTTTTCCTCACGGCTAAATTGTGTCGAAATAACCTTACCTAAGAGGCGGCTAAGGATGAGACTTCAGAGACGACTGTACACAATTTATACTGATTATTTCTTTATGATCCCTGCATTCAAGGCAGAAGATTAACTTAAACTGGGGTTCGTCATATCTGAAGAGTTTAAAATCGTCTTCACAGTCTCATCTTTGTCGGTAACTTTGTAGCTCTCAAAATGTTACAGTCTGCCGTCCATTATGGGCAGCAGAAATACAAATACATATTTGAATTTAATCACTTCGGTTTCCATGTAAAATTTTTATCTAAATTATAAAATACAGGTAAGAAGAACGTGGCGTTTAGAGGAAAAAGTTCAAAAACTTGTTGAATTAGAATAAAAACTCGAAACTCAAACTTAAACTTTTATTTGCACCAAGTTTGAAACACTAAGTAAACAAAAATATTTCATTGGCACAGGGATAAAATAAATAGGTGTATCTATTTATATATAGTTTTCCATTCATTTATGCTTATTTTTGATATGTCTTAAAGGGACAGACATGCTATGTATTGTAAGGTTGTTAAACTGAGTATGCAGTATGTTGTTGACAAATTCTTTAGGATTCATTTCAGACATATAAAACGTTTCCACGATGAATAATTACTGAATTTGAGTGCATAGTCGACGTTCAAAATCATGAAATTTGGGTGAGTACGGTTTCAGAATTATCAAATAACGACGACGAAAAACAAAGTAAAATTATGCAGTAAACTAATTAAATGGTTAGGAATATATTTCTCAAACGAAATTTGTTAATAAATCAATGCTAAAATCAATTATTTCGTTTTCATCATTTTATTGAATTTCTTATTTTCTATGAATTTATTCGCAGATTTCTACAAATTCTTCAAATGTCGTCGTTTCAATAATAATTCTAGAAAATCTGCGACAATCTTTGTGAATAATGAGAAACCAGAATAATGAGAAATTATAAACTAATAATTGAACAAGATTACTTATTTTCGATGATAAGATTAATTTTTATTTTCTCCACCTGTTCCTAAACAAAGTTTACTGTAGAATTTTGTTTACATTTTTGTTGTCATTATTTAATAAATAAAAAAAACTATTCTGAAAACGTATTCACCCAAAAGTACGATTTTGAACGTCGACTTTGCGCTCAAACTCAGGATTTACAGATCTTTAAAAAGTTTTTTATGTCACAAATGAATCCTAAAAAATTTGTCCACAACACTGCATGCTCAGTTTAACTACCTAACAGAGCCGGTCTGTCCCTTTAATTATGCTTCCACTAAACCTATATTTATATTTATGGTTTATTTCTCTTGTGAAATACTGACTTCAGTCACGTGAAATTAGTTATGAATATTATAAAGAGATATAAATATACTTAAATATATCTATAGCTTAAATCTAGGGGGAGGGGCTTGAAAGTTGGAAGACTCCTGAAAAACAAACTCCTGAAAGATAAACTCTTTAAAGACAAACTGCAGAAAAGACTAAATCCTAAAAGACACTAATGGACGACAAACTCCTGAAAGATAAACTTCTAAAAGACCAATCCCTGAAAGACAAACTCCAGAGAGACAAACTCTATAAAAAAACTCCTGAAAAGCAAATTTCTGAAAGAAAAACTCCTTAAAGAAAAACTCCTTAAAGACAAATTCCTAAAAGGCAAACTGCTGAAAAATAAACTCCTGAAAGTCAAAGGGCAGAAAAGACAATCTTCGGAAAGACAAAACTCTCATAAAGGGTAAAATCCTGAAATACAAACTTCTGAAAGAACTCTTTATCTTTTATTCTAAGTTAGTTTACGACTTTTATTCTATCTTTATCTTTTATTCTAAGTTAGTTCATGCCTTTTGATCCATCAGGGGTGTGCTGCACCTGCAGCTAGCATAGGCTGTGGCGAGGGTTGGGGCTTGCGGCTAGCACTGGGGAGTCCGCAGCTTGTCTTTCAGGATCCAGTTTTCCGTCACAGCCATATTTGGTATATGCAGCATGAGCAACGGACAACTTTGTGAAACTCCTGAAACGGAGAAATAGTAAACAAGTTTTTTTAAATAAATGATGTTTTAAAATAAAAACTTTTGTAAGATTAACTATTTCTTGGAATGATTATTTAAAGTCAAATAAACTAAAAGAATTATTTAATAAACATGTGGTTTGTTTGAGCATTATTTTATAATAATTATATATCAATTTATCAATTTTGTATTGAACCAAACAATTCAGGATAATTTTATATTAATTATGATTTATGTTGAACACTTATATATTAATTAGTTTCTCTCAAACTAGTACAAATTGGAAAGCTAAGCTAAAAATCACACACCTTGAAATTTGCAGGTGGTTGAAATAAATTTAAGTAATTTTTAAAGGGACTGTAATCATAATTTCAAAATTCAAGTGACACTTTATGCAAAGAGGACAATGCCCAATATTCAACGGTAGCCTTTAAATCTTTGACTGTTCATCGAGAAAATAGAGCTCTGTGAATGCAACGTAATGCCGTAGCGCGCCTTTAATCTTACTACACCAACTCACTTTTACTTTTTGGTAACCCTAGAATGTGCGTGTTGAAACTCTAAACCACTTGCTTTTAGCTTTAGTGTTTGAGAAGTGATTGGCAAAATTCTTAATGATTTTGCATGAGAGATCACTATAGTTTCAGTAGAAGTAAATATTTCCATTTACTGTTATAGCGCCGATATAAGGATTTATCTCTAATTAGATAATGGGTTAGATAGAAAGATAGATGTTACCGCCATGCAATTTCTATTGGTTCAGAATAGACACCAAACACATAGATGAACCTTAGTTGGATCAGGCGCTAATGGACTCGGCATACTAGAGTGCTGACGGCTCAACGAGTAGGCAGGTCGAACCGGTGGCGCGGAAGGATCTGGGAGTGATCCTGGCTGGAGCTGCCGGTTGTGCAGATCTTGGTGGTAGTAGCAAATACTCCAGGGAGGCCCTGGAGGACCGATGTGGAGAAGGGTTTCGTGTGAACAGCCGTTGAACACGAGTCAGTCGATCCTAAGGCATAGTGGAATCTAGATTGCAACCTTTGGATCACTGTGAAATCAGTGAAAGATAAAAAAGGCAAAAAACCAAATTTTACATCCAGTTGTAGGTCGTCATCAAACTCGGATAATTTGGATTTTCTCTCGATTTTTGTTTGTTACTTGTAACGTGTAAGGTGTACAGAATGTTAGAAGTTGAAATTATTTTTAAAATGGCGGCTTGAAAAATTACAACTTTAAAAACAACAAGTATAAGCATTCTGAAGATATCATTAGTAAACACGGAACCTCGACATTAAAATGTATATAGAGCAAGGTTGATTAGTAAGGTCGCTTACTCTCGTGCACGAAAATGTCGTCTCCTAAGCAATTGAAAGTGAAATCCGTAAATGACGTCACTGATCCCTACACTCGCCTCGCTCTATAATCAGTGACGTCATTTAAATATTCAATGTCAATTCTTTAGAAGACGACATCTTCGAAGATTTTTCTATCAAAAAAAATTTTGTTGCAGAGCAAAGAAACCGATTTGTTTTTTGCAACTGCAAAATCTCGCCAAAACGAATAAATTCGCTTTCGCATTTACTTAGCAACTAAACCTTGTAGCAGTTTAGCCTAGACCCTGAACCTGAGATTTGTGGGGCCGGGCAAGCTAACTTCATAATTTTCGGCAAAAAACATCCAAACGGGAAAAAAATTGGCCAGGAAATTTTCTGAAAAAATGCCGGACAATTTTTCATTTTAAAAGTAAAATTACAAAAAAATCAAATATTTTTTCATTACGAAAAATTATCCTTGATAATCCAGTTGAAAACGTGCTCAAATTTAAAAATTTATTTAATAAAAATAAGATTGCAGTACATGAAGGAAACTGATATTGATATTTACGAAAAATATACGGTGTACAGAAAATATGTATCTCTATACATAAAGGTAAGTTGTAATATTTGCTTGTCTGTTTGTTTGTATGTCCGATCAAATTTTGATTGGGAACTCGCAAGAACCACGGGAATATTATTAGCTTTGTTCAAAGAGTAAAAATAGCTTAAATCGTAGTTTACGACTGAGCGCGGGTAAACGGCGGAAGTGACTTTGAGGACCCTGGGCAACGCTGGGTTCTCAAGCTGGTAAGTTAAAAATTGATGAAATGTGTCCGAAAAAACTACAAAAGTACAACACTGCATGGTACTATGCAATAGGAAATAGGGTATTAAGCGAACTAAAAAATAAACGTTTAGCATAAAAACAACTTGATCGCGTGATGCGATCGTATTAAAAAATGGTGAAAGGATGATATCTCTATTAAATATGGACTAGCTTTGGAACCCAGCGTTGTCCAGTGTTACGATTTTTCCAGAAAAAAGGCAATCCAATCAATTTTGTATCTCAAAATCAAGTTGAGAACATTCTCGAGGTTCCCTAGTTTCCCAATCAAAGTTTAAGGCAAATCGGTCAAGGGGATCCTGAGTTATGATTGGACAAACAAACACAGATTACAACTTTATACAAAGAGATTAGATAAAAAAATTCATTTCGTTCATTTCATCGTTAACTGATTAAGTTGTTTGCACAAATTACATGTAAACTTGATCCACGTTTAAAAAAAATATAAAATAATTGAAATCTATGCTTTTTCAATTATGATGTTTAAAAAAGAGAAATCTTTTACGGGAACACATTATATTTTTTACAATTTCAGTCCCTAAAATGTCAAAATATCTTATTTAATTACAAGAAAATCTTTTTACAAAAGCGGCGGCGAAGATAACCCAGAAGTTTTTGTAAAAGCACATCTTCTGCTGTAAAACGACTACAGCCACCCTTTTCTAGTTGAACCTACTCGACGGAATCATGATATCATCTAGCAGAACCGACCAGACTAGTCACCTGCCAGCCAGGCTAATCTTGTGGTACCGGTCCGACGTATCTAGGTGTACCGACACAACATATCTAGGTGTACCGGTCCAACTTATCGACTATCAATCCCCGCCGTCTATAATCTACCCGTCCTATGGTCCGGACATGGACATGGTCAGTATTGTCAAAACCGTTCAGAAAGGCAGACTACTTGGTTCAATAATGCAAATCTAGGAAATCTGTGAAAATGATGTTATTGTTATTTGTTTTATCAGCTGAGCTGATCAGTGCTGAACCGTTATCAGTTAGTGAAGGATTATTAAATCAGCTGGGAATAAAAATTCCAACTCCAGGTTAGTGTTTTAAAAGTAATTTTCATTAGTTTAATGTAACCTTGTATCTTTTTATCCTTGTATCCTTGTATCCTTGTATCCTTGTATCCTTGTATCCTTGGATTTGTATCCTTGTATCCAATCCTTGTATCCTTGTATTCTTGGATTTGTTCCTTGTATCCTTGTACCCTTTTATCCTTGTATCCAATCCTTGTATCCTTGTATCCTTGGATTTATATCCTTGTATCCTTGGATTTGTATCCTTTTATCCAATCCTTGTATCCTTGGATTTTTATCCTTGTATCCTTGTATCCTTGTATCCTTGTATCCTTGTATCCTTGTATCCTTGTATCCTTGTATCCTTGTATCCTTGTATCCTTGTATCCTT